TATATATATATACATTATATATATATACTAGTATATATATATATATATGTATGTATGTATGTATATATATATATATATGTATGTATATATATCTATGTATATACATACATATATGTATATACATATATATATATATACATACATATATATATACATATATATATACATACATATATATACATATATATATACATACATACATATATATATATATATATATATATATATATATATATATATATATATATATATATATATATATATTCTAGCTTATCCTTGCTTTTTTTTGTGTTGTAAAGCTAGTTAGTTGATTGAATACATCATCAATTGTCTAGAATGTGAAATACTAATCTGTTTTAGTTTATTGGTGAGATAGTTGAGGCAGAGGACAAGTTAAACTTTTTTGATTGATTGAGATATTGGGTTATCTTGTACGACGAACGAAATCGATTCGAATGATTTGATTAAAATCATGGAGATGATTTCCAGGTGAGGGATTTATTTTTCAATTCATAATTCAACTAAATATTGAGGATAAAAATATTCTCAAATTAGATCAAATCCTGTATTCAACATTCTAAAATTATTATTAACATTAGGTTTCGTGATTTTTCGCATATTATTTAAAAGCTCTTTTGAAAACTGTATTACACCCTCAAATCATCCTACTAAATTAAATTTCTGAAGTCACTGTTGATTTGAATAACGTACTGCTACTCCGTTGATCTCATGATAAGTCCTCCGTCAAAGATTTGCACCAAATTTTCCGAGGAGTTCCCAATTACATCATCGATCCAATTCTTCTACTCGGCCGGCGTTGACGAATCCCTGTTGATGTAAGCCACAAATACATAGTAAACAAGACAAAGGTACAGCTAAGATTTGCTACAGAGTCCCCGTCGACGAACCCTAAGATTTGCTATTAAATGCCGCCGGTCTTTAGGTTGATGGCAACGCAACGGCGACTGTCCACCAAAGCCAGCCGTCAAGACATACATAAAGCATTCAAACCTTCCGCACGCATCAATAGGTCCCATTTTGCCTACCAAAGACGCATTCTTTTCGTGCATGCCCGGTTTCCCAAAAAATATCCTCCTCTCCTTCGTTCGCCGGTTGGAATTTGGAAGCAAGGGATGGATTTGGAGGACGCAAGGCGGGAAATTGGAGTCTTTTGGGTTGTCCGTAAAGGTGGTGAAGGATGAGAACTTGTCGTTGCCGCGGGCAACGATGAGACGTGCTCGTTTCCTCCGACTCCTGCCGAGGCGGAACGGGATTTAAGGTGCTCTATCTAATTAGTTCTTCTTCTTCTTGTTTCTTTGGCATAGACGTCGCTGATTTGCTATTATTGATCGTGGCATGTATCGAGGTGCTTTATGTCTTTAATTGTCTGGATGATACGCAGGAAACGTTTTGTGACCTTATTTCCTTATGCTGATGTAAATGTGAATCTGCATGGTTTCTTGATAGGTAAAGGAGTGATTTTTATTAGGCAATTGAAGTCTAAAATGTGTTCATAAATGTAGAAATTTGATGGTTTTTTACTGTTACATTAATTTCTTGATCACTTGTCTTATGTATCTGCTAAAGCTCTTGTCTGGGTTCGAGGAAGAGTGATATAAACGTAATCGCCAGCTTGTCAGTAAATTCCAGTTTCTCACATCTTATTTCTTGAAAGATTTGCATTAGTTGCACAATTGGCAGGTAAAATGTAGAAACATTTCATCTTTCACTTAATGTAAGAGGTAAAGACACTCTAGTTGATGGAAGAATGCTTGCATGCTAGTTGATGTTTTCCTCTCAAAATGGCATAGCAACCTTTGTGTTTGTATCTCTAAACCATTGATTTATGTAAATCCTACTTGTGATTATAACAGCTGAGGTCTACATGTGTGTGTATCTGTGGCGTGCGTCTGTCACACTAGTGCTGCTACTTCATATATCAAACTTCATTTCTTTGTTCGTTGTACTGTTGAAATCTCATCATTGTATCCATAATAAAGACGCCTCGTGATCTTAAAGAATACCTTACTCATGTCACATAATAAAGATGCATCAGGTATAACTTTTGGTTAATTAACTGCTGATTTTGTGTTAGCCACTGTTGAAACTTTGCGCAATCATCATTATGTTTTTATCTTTTTCTTTTGTGTTGTGCGTAGGGTTCCTCAGATGCATTCGGTGAGGTTGATGCCTTTCGAGCATTGCACATTGTGAGTCTATTACATGTCAAAGGTTTGAAGTTGCTTTCGATGTTCTTGTTTATATCATCTTGAAGACAATTAACTTTTCATATGTGGATGAGGTGCAATTGGCTTTTAACCACTTTCTCGTCACTAAGTTATAAACTTAGTGAAACACTTATCATATGTGTCTAATGCCTTTTAGTTTCACTGTGTATAATTCTTGAACCTGCACTTTGCTAGCTCACAATGCATTTGCCCGTTTACCTTATCTTGAAATGAAGTGAGCAAGCTAATGAACTGAATAGTATTTCTATGTCATCATTTTATCTTTAATCTGTTTCATCTTGAGCTAATAATTGCTATTTGTAGTCATTAACCAATCGGATTATTGAACAATAGGTTCTAAGGAGGCCATGCCATGCCATGCAAATTACTTCCACTGGCAGCCTTAGGAAGCCATTGAACATTGTCCTATGAAGTTGCTGCAATTTATAAGATATTTTAATCATGCTGCAGCACAACCATTAAGTGAAAAGATGGCTTCCATCTGAACATATAAACTGATTACGATTGATAATGAGCAAATAAATGACCTGATTTACAGAATCCAAGACTTGTGAGAATTTATTAAAGAAACTAACAAACAGCATGATTATGATAAATTCTAAGTATTTCATTAGTATAAAACAATTGTCGTTTCCTGGCTTTCGCCTACGTATACGATAGGAAGATACCAACGTGTTTGACCATACAAATCGTTTACATTGATCAAAATTTATAAAAAGCTACAACAATAATTTAAATTTATCAATTTGGAAAACCATATCTCAAGAGTGTGTCAAGCTATTCAGATGTATTTCATAAATGAATTAAGATTAGTGCACTTATCTCAGTTATGACTTTCAATTGTTAGCCAATAACCAAGAACAAAATAAAATTTTCTTTTAACATGGTATTCGAGTTTTGTTGAAAAAATCAACAAATGAGAAAAGTATGAGGGTGTGCTGAAATAAAAGAAAACAAACCAAGGAAAGTATTCCTTCTTTAGCATTCTTTCCTGGAAATATTACACGGTTGACCTGACCAGTAATATTTCAGAAACAAATAAGATAAGAAAAGGAAATAACCAATATGATACAAAATTTTAGCATGCATCGATGCTCATTTCATGCTTCAAATTTTTTTGCATGAACTGGCTAAGTACAGTAAATTTCCAATGCTGCATAGTTTCTGCCCAATGTCCTCATTTCTTCTTAATTAATTTTGTCGAGAAGCTTCCTATAGTCATTTTGAGATGAAACTGATAGGCCTTTTGTTGAAATGATAGCTAATCATATTTTGATCTCAGTATTGCTGGCAGAAATTGGTAAAACTGTCTTGTTTCCGTCTTATAGCTCATCATGTCCTAGTAATTTCTTCATGTTTCATTGCTAATCTAGGAGATGTTCCTTTTTGTATATTATGATTTCCCTAAAGCTGTGATGGGATCATCGTAGCAACATAAAAAAATTTTCCTCCTGTCCCACATGCATGAGGCTCTAAAGACATGCTTCTTTGTCATGAAGCTAAAGATGCCAACTTCACTGTTTGAATTCTATCTTGCAGAGGTTCTTGGAATTTGTTTGAGAATTTGTGGAGTATTTTACTCAAGATAATTTTTTCTCTTTTCTCAAGAAAGGAACCCGAATATTTCTGTTGCCCCACAGTCAAAAAGAGCAAAGAACATGCTAAAAAATGAATCCAGAAAGAAGAAAGATCTGCAAAGCTGAGGCAGAAAAAAAGATTTTTTTGAGAAGAAGAAAAGTGTACCTTTGATGTGAGTGCTCGTAGAGGAGAGATATTGACGCGGCTCAATCCAACTACATGGCTGTATGAGCATATCCAGCCATGTCTTCAGATTGAGGCACGCCAATACCTCCCCCTTCAGATCCCATCCTATATTCCTCTTCGAGCTGTGTACCAAACAGATCATGACACCAATGTTCTTCCCTGGCCATGCCGTGATCAGCATCTACTATAATAATGCTAAGTTGTATTGTTCAAAGGATAGAAGAAGCGAGGTTTGTGGAGAAGAGAGGAACAACATAAGGTCTCCTTTTCATCAAATTAGTAGTGCTCTTCTTTTATAGTAGCTTTCTTATTACTCTCTATTGTGATAGGTTCGTCTCTTACATGACTGTGGATGGATACGTAGAGGCAGAAGCAGGAGAAAAGAGGGAGAAAATGAATCTGAGAGGACCACATCAACATGAATCACTTTCAAGATAATCCATGTATACGTCGGTCGCAATCATTAAAATTTCCCGGTAGGCATCTGTCATGTGTCTCTGCTTTGTCAAATGGCAGTGTAAGACATGTATACAACTATTAGATTCTGTAAAGAGTGGAAGTAACTATATCTCTTGTATTAAAATTTAAATGTGATCTGAAATGCATAAAAGCTATGTTACTAATGATAGACCGATATAACCCTGCATACTATTATAATTTTCATTTCCACGTAGGACTAATTAGATTGTTATAGTCGTTCTTGTCATTGTTCCAATGTGGATGTCAATAAATGTTGCTGTTATTCACAGCTGTGTTTGTAATGCGAAAGCACAAGACAACCTGATGACTAGTATGGGTTAAGCTTTTCTTGTTTATCCTTCAAAGTGAAAGAATGAATCACTGAAACAAAGAGCATGGAAGTCAGAAGACACAAGTAGGGATCATCAAGACAGAGATGAACCGAGGAGTGAAAAGACAATGAGCTACCAGAGAATCTGAGTGCAGTGACAAAAAAAATGGAGGACATTTGATCAGGTAAATCTGTGGCTGGTGGGATGTAAATGGACAGACATCCATAATGATTTCTAGGTCAGACTTACCTGTGTTTGTTGGGGTGCATTAACTTCTTCAGGGACCATCATCTCCTCTCTCTCTCTCTCTCTGTGTGACCAACAACACCATATGCTTCCGAGTCCCAGAGCATTCAATTCTTGCCCATCGCCACCGAAGCCGGTGGGGCTCAACCTCAGCCTTTGCTGCTGATGTTCTTGTTTCTATTCAGCTATTTTTTTCCACTCCAAGGATCATCATCAATTCAGTTGCAGCAAAAGATCTCATCATAATCGATGTCCCATTGTCAAAATTCTTGTCGCATTAAGATGAAGATTCTCTCATTTGAGTCCGAGCAGAAGAAAATGCTTTTCGGATAAATAAAAGTATGCTTTCAGGTAAAAAAAAATGTTAAGGATTCGAAATCTCATTCGATATATTTATTTTTTTGAATCTTGTTTTCATTACTAACCTTTTAAGAAAAAAAAAAAGATTAGTTTTCATAAAATTTCACGTAGGATTATTATCAGCATATCCTATTATCTATCTATCTTTTCTTGAAATCTATAAGGCAATTTTCAGTACACAAGCATTTTCTCTCTCGACTGAAGATTTAGACTTGTCACTGAACCTGTTTTACTGACTGACATTTTATCGCTACTCGAGCAGAATGATCATTGATGAAAGCTGTCGAAGCTCCCATGGTAAGGTTTAAATGTAACAGGAAACATAAATGAGTAATAGGAAATCACCAGCAAGTAAAAGTAACAAGCACCTGAAGCTTTGGACCGATCGATGGGTGAAGAGTCTGGGTTCAATGACCTCTGTCTCGCACTGGAGAAGCATTTAATGGGATCACGATGGGTGTTATCTCCTCTAGGGCTGACTCAGCTCTTTTGGAAGGTATTTCTGTCACGTTAATGGCAGTGGGCGCTGTTGCCCATCTTCTTCTCTCTCCCAGTGGAGTCTACCATCATCGGTTGTCTGCTTAGTGTGACATTTGCTTCAGCTACTTCATTTCCTGTTCCTGGGAGGATTAATGCCTCCACCCTCCCCCCCATAAACAGTTGCACCTTTTGCGAGGTGACGGATATAGTAACTAACACATCGAACCGATCTCCAGAATTGTATTGTGTGCGTCGATGGCGTTTTCTTGCTCTTCTTTTGTTTCTGTCTTCTGAATTCTCACAGAATCAGCTCTATGATCATTTTATGTAAGCTAAGTAAGCATCACATGTCATGGTTGGAAATTCTGATACACATTAGATCCTAACGTATTTCGCAAGTTCAAGCTGGCACGGATGAATGAGAATGGAGTCTGACTGTCCTTAGAAACCGAGACCGAGGAAGCGAAGACACTGTGTTTTGTCTTCCGATCTGGAAATTATCAGCTCCTTCACTTCGATCCATCCCAAAGACCTCTTCTGAGTGTCATATTGAATCCACACAAGTCTCTCTTTGATCGTCTCAACATCCAGTAAGCTTTCAGATGAATCAAACATGAAGCAAATAGTATGCAAATGAAACCGATGGTTTACGTGCAAAAAAACTAAGATGAGAGATTCTCTCGTCCTCGCATACGAGTTCATGAATTAGCTATTCGCTCGGAGAGGAGAATCCACCACATCATGATTCTACAATACCATCAACATCAGGAATCAGCATGAACAGTAAGTAGCATCCTAATGTTCTGCTACTCGCTCGCTAGCCAAATAAAAGGAATAGCAGATGTGGTCAAACAACTCGATCATTATGTTGGTACCCATGAAGAGGTTGCACTGAATCGAATGATCGATGTGAATCACATGCCATATCGCTCGATGGCTGGCCGATAACGTGACCTGCTGAAGACCATACAGCTTGGATACTGGATGGCATGGCGTCCAAAATAGCAACACCCAGTAATGTCTATAATGATACCATTGCAAACCATATAATGCATACGAGAAGTCTAACCTTGCGTTAGACTAGTATAATGTACGTGACATTTCATAAATATATGTCATACCATATGATATGTATGACATATTTCATAAAGATGTCACTGATGCTCTCTAATGCATATGACAAGCAGCTATTTCAGAGGTTACAGCAACCAGAAGAAGAAGAAGAAGGTATATACTGGCAAGAATTGGCATCTCAGTTGGTACAGGATTTCAGAAATTTTGGTTTACCAAAACAGGCTGCCACAGGAAAAATGAAAGTTAGAGAGAGAGAGAGAGAGAGAGAGAGAGAGGTAGACATACTACATCTGGTTTTTTACTTCTTTGCGCAAAAGAAGCCTCAATTGCAAATGGAAGAATGAAAGGTGGGCACATTTTGGCGTTCGATAATGTTTGGCCTTTAATAGGAATTCCAACTCACTTTAGATGGACTGTGGAGTACGAACCAGCAGCCTCTGCTTGGACCGACATCTATTGCATGGTATGGCCAATTCTCAGAGGTGGTTTCATTGTCTGTACCAGCTCGTAACAAGGAATTCATGGCATCCCCATGACAGAATCATCCCGAATTCGATTGATGTCCCGGATTTTCCTAATTTAATGTAGACAAAGTGGAGGTGAAGATTTAGTATAAATTCTAAATGGATTACGATTACAAATCTAGCTAAACTAATCTAACTAGGATTCCTAAATAGATTCGGGTTAGAATTCCTCGAAGAGAGAGATAAGATACTCGTCCTATAAATATATCATGACCCTCCCTCTTCTCCTAACCACTCAAGGGAGAAAGGCCAATGACGACGAAGACGATGCTGACGATGAGAGAGAGAGAGAGAGAGAGAGAGAGAGAGAGAGAGGGGCTGATGGTGAACATCACCTTTGCCGGTAGGAATCCTTAGTCTCTTCCTTCTTCTCTTTATGATTTTGAATTCTTGTTCTTTTACATACTCTTCTTAAGACAGTTTTGAGATGATCCAATCTTTCTCGTCTTACTCTTTGACATGCTACAATCTTCTTCCATCCATTTCTAAGTCAATGTCTCCTTGAAGATTCGGTCACTTCACTTGTTATGTTGATTTCATGAATACATCCTTCAGTAAAGGATGAATTAGATATTGCTGCAAATAG